GCAGGATGAGAGTCAGCTGCTCTTAAATGTGAGGCCATGGTTCTCAACCAGAAAAAGTTGGATTGGGCTTTTCAGGACGGATATAAGATTCTTTATCCAATGTAAAGAAGTTCAAGCAATTCAGATCTTTTTTTAAACGAAGATACAATGAAGATGGATGCATAGATTCGGATCCTATCTTTAGTAAGGTGGCACAACTTCGATCTGTCATGGTAAAGATAAGCTGAGCCAAAAAGCTGGGCTCAGCCTTAGAAACAGGGTGAGGAGCTCCTTTATCTGGAGGAACCTCAAAGTACAAGTGCTGCTGCTTCACATTGAAAGGAGTAGGTTGAAGTAGTTTGGGTATCTGATCGGGATTCCTCCTGGACTCCTCCCTTTGGAGGCTTTCCAGGCATGTCAACTAGGAAGAGACCCTCATGCACATCAAGAATGTGATAGTGGGACAAAATTCTTAACCACCACTTTATTAGGAACACCTCTTTAATTACTTGTTAGCACAGAGAGCATCTTAACCAATCACATGGCAGCATCTAAATGCAATTACTGTTAGGACGATAAGATGAATTTCAAACCCAGCATCAGAATGTGGAAGAAATGGGATTTAAGTGACTTTGAACATGACATGGTTGTTGGTCCTAGGCGAGGTGGATTGACTTTTTGAGAAACTGCTGGTCTGCTGGGATTTTCACACACAACGATCTCTCAGGTTCACAGAGAATCACCCAAAACAGAAAAAAATACCTATGAGGGGCAGTTTTGTGAAGGAAAATGTCTTGCTGATGTCAGAGGAAGAATGTGTGGACTCTGAAATCACCGCACACTGAACCTTGGAGCGGAAGGGCTACAAAACCAAGGAGACCACACTAGGTTCCACTTCTGTCAGCTAGGTACAGGAAACTGTGGCCACAACTTGCACAGGCTCACCAAAAGTGGACAATAATCGATTAACAAACCCTTGACTACTCCTCTGAGTGTGGATTTTTAATCCATGTTTGGGCAGAAGTGAAGAATCGCATCATGAATGTGCGGCCAACAAATGTGCAGCAACTGCAGGTAGTATCTGTTAAACATACTGTAGGTCTAACTCTCTAAAAATGTTTCCAACACCTTGTTAAACCTATATACCAAAGAATTAAGGCAGCTCTGAGGGCAACAAACTGTCCAACTCAGTCATTGCAAACTAACAAAGTGGCCAGTGAGTATATACCCCTTCTGGCCTGGGAAGGCCTTTGATCCCCTGTAATGACCTGGAGAGGGTTGCTGGGGAGAGGTATGTCTTTTTCCCTTCTGGAACTTTTACTCCAACCTTAGACAAGCAGAAGAGGATGGCTGGATGGAAAAACTACATATATTAATACTCAAAAAGTTTAAGATTTGTTTTTTTTAATTGTAGAGAAAAAAATACATGGTCTGTTACCTTTAAATCCAGCTTCTATTTATAGAAACATTACCTCAGGAAATCAAAGGATTCAATTCAATTGACTGGGTCAGAAAGCCAAAAAGAATGGCTGACCAGACAAACTCAACCTCAGGTGGTGACTCGAACTCTTATTTGTATTAATGGGACTTTTCACTGGTTCCTTCCCAGAGGAAGTAATAGTAGAACGGGAACAAACTGATATGGCAGCACATACACAGGCCTGAAAGGGAGAGAGATGACACAATGAAAAGGATGGAATAAAATATGAAGAAAACATAAGCCACAAAGTGTGCAGCACTCAGTTCATTTCCCATTCAGTTTCCGATCCATAACATGGCGGGATGCCTCTGTGCGCTTCTTTATGAGTATGAGGGATGACTGTGTGTGACGGTGGCTGTCAGTGGCTCTCACTTGAGAGATATTAAACCTAAGCTCTCCACCGCTTCCCTCTCACAGATCGCCTTACAGTGTGTGACTATTTTTAAAAATGTCATTCACTTTTCATGACACTGCTAAATTGACAGCTTTTACCTCCACCTATAAACACCTTCTCATATCAAAGATTATTGTATTGTTATTGTATTTTTCTTTTTTGGGAGAAAGGGAAAGTTTGAAGACTGACAAAAAAACTTGAGGTCTCACATTTTACCTAATTGGAAATTTTGTTTCCATTTTGTCAGCCCATCTTTTGTAATTGTTTCATCCTCCGGTTTCTTATTTCCTCCCGTGTCATTTTCTTTTCTCAGGATGTTTGTGAGGATGGCCTATCAAACTATTTGAATTCCCCTCTCCCCATCTGAAGCGGGGCACATCAGCTTTGAAGAGTGACAAGCACGCAGCGGGAGGGATCAAAGCAATGCAAAACTGGAAATTTAAGAGGAAGTTAAAAAGCATGTAGTTTTGCCATTTCCCTCATGTTCAACAAAGAGAAAACAGACACTGCAGAACAGCAGGGAGAGATGAGACATTATCAAACAGTGATTTTCAAGGATGCCCGCGTAGTTCACGGAGGCACAGATGCTTTAGATAATGCTGTTTAACATAGCAATTCACCTGTTCGCAGTAAGTCATATTAACAGCTATTCCAGCATCCCCATGAGTGCAAAGCTTTCTTGTGAAAGTGGTACATTTCAACCCAGCGGTGACTCTGAAGTCAGTCAGGTTGAGATAGGAAAATCAGTTGTTTATTCTTGTATGACAGGGTGATTTACTTTATTTAAAGGCTCTCACTGAGGCAACAAAGCACCTTGGAATGGGCTATATGTATAATGTAAATAAATAAAAAAATCTAAAACTGTATTTTTAAATTCAATAAATCGGTTAAAGTTTACCCCCTAATAAGCACTTTTAGTCAGAGGTTTACACTAATCACTAGCAGCAACTGCAATTAAGCTACAGCATCTAAATTGGATTCAGGTCAGGACTTTGTCTAAGCCACTCCGAAGTCTCATTTAGTTTTTCTTCAGCCATTCAGATGTTGACTTGTTGGTGTGTTTTGGATCAATGCCCTGCTGCAGAACCCAAGTGTGCTTCATCGTGAGGTCAAAATGTCAGCATGTTTGGTAGACAGCAGAATTCATGGTTCCATTTGCCACAGCAAGTCTTCCAGGTCCTGAGGCAACAAAAAAGCCCCAAACCATTACACTATCACCACTATATTTTACTGTTGGTAAGATGTTTCTTTTCTGAAATGCTGTCTCGCCAGATGTAATGGGAGACACACCTTCCAAAAAGTTCTGCTTGTATCTCATCAGTCCATAGAGTATTTTTCCAAAAGTGTTATCCTCTAATATCGTCTGGCAAAACTGAGAAGAGCCTTTATGTTCCTTTTCAGCAGAGGTTTCCACGTGACAAACAAAATAAGGAATCAAGAATGGGGCAACCCTTTTTCTCACCACTGTACATCCTACATTTGCAATGACTTTCAATAAGGCTGAGATTGGGGGCATTTCAGAACCTTAATGTTAAAGATTTTGCAGGGAGTCATTTTTTCTCTCTTTAATCAACTTTCTGCCTCAGCATCATACCTCATGATTGAAATTTGGACCTAAGTGGGTGTTCAATCTGGTCAGTGACTCCAAGCATGCATCTAAACTAGTTTTGGAAAGGAAAAAGCGGGCCAACATTAAGCTTCTGGAATGATCCCCAACTGAACTCTTTAAAAGCCGTATCTCTGCTGGGAAACTAAGTGATTTAAATGAGCTCTACAAGTTCTGACAAGACAAGTTGTCAAATATACAGCCATTATCACTGAAGCTTTAAGTTGTGTGATGATTTTACTTTGGAAAAAGAGGGGTTTAAAGAAATCATTAAAAGTCAGAATTGAGAATGACGTTCCTGCCGATGATGAGTGAGTTCTGGCCCAAAATTTTAACACAAATGTTTCTAGTAGAAATTGCTGGAAACTGACACCACTTGACTTTATTTAATTCAAGCAGTTTTAAATTCATTTCATTTCTGGCCACTTTGAGTGATATCTAAAATTTGTTTCAGATTATATTCCTTTTACACAACATCTGCAATAATGACCATCAACTCCAATAACACGTGAAACATCTTAGTTAAATCTAATTTGTTGAACAGATTTTTGACTAAGGTCTATACCCAGTTTGTTAATTTCCTTTTAAATCCCTGGTGTGAAATCTACCTTGTTTGCTTGTGGACACTACAAATGTGCTTTGTAAACACACTAATATTGTCCAGCTGTCCAGAATAGTATTAATGGCTTTTAATGGAGCAGTGTGATTTTTCACAATGTATTAAACCAGGACTCTCTACAAATGTTGAGTGGGTACATTAAAGGGTGGCAATTTTGTTCCTCACTGTCCAATTATGTAATATTTTTAATGCAATTAGATGCAAAAACATGCCCTCGATTTGTAAAATATCTCCTTATGTGACAATACATTTTAGGGGCTATTTTGTGGTGCTGTCTTGGGCCTGCCATGATGCAAAAGCCTGTCCAGCTTCCTGGACTTTTCTCATCTGCATTGGCCTGTTTGTTTTTGTTTTTGCTTGCTTGTTTGTTTGTTTGTTTTGCTTTCATCAGGATATCTCACATAAACCCTAATTTGGTGTTGTGCTTGATTTATAGTTTTTAGATTTGGTCAATAAAAACTGAAATGTATTAGTTTATTAACAACAAATGATTACACTGTTGCACCTCATTTGCTTGTATGCATAGCAGTATTTCTGAGGGCAAGACAGAGTTTAAAAGCAATGCACTTATCAGTATATAAGCAAGGCAGTCAGTGAGTAAGCTCCTATTAAAGGCACCAAGCTACTTGGCAGATGCTGCCCCAATTATGTTAGACAGCTCAGTCATAGCATATCAGTGCCCTAAGTGGTGGGTATCATTTTGTCCCAGAATGCATCTCAGTGTGGAAATGGCATTATTTTGTCTTTGCTGCGATTATCTTCTCAGCCCTACCCACCCTTAAAACTTATATACTTGTGCTTTATAACAAACTGTAACAAATGGTGTTTTATAGATGTTTTAATATCTGACTCGTGCTGCTAACAGTGACATTTACTCCCACCAACCAATATAAATTTATGACATTGTGCAGGCTTTCAGGGCTGCACGGTGGCGCAGTTGGTAGCACACTGCAGCAAGAACGTCCTGGGTTCGATTCCCGGCCGGAGGTCTTTCTGCATGGAGTTTGCATGTTCTCCCTGTGCATGCGTGGGTTCTCACCGGGTACTCCGGCTTCCTCCCATAGTCCAAAGACATGCCTGTTAGGTTAATTGGTCATTCTAAATTGCCCTTAGGTGTATGAATGAGTGTGTGCATGGTTGTTTGTGTGTTGCCCTGCGATGGACTGGTGACCTGTCCAGGGTGTACCCCGCCTCTTGCCTATAGACTGCTGGAGATAGGCATCAGCTTCCCCGTGACCCACTATGGAATAAGCGGTAGAAAATGACTGACTGACTGTGCGGGCTTTGTCTGTGATATACTTTTGAAATCAGAATCCACAATATGTTTAACAGGCAGTATCAGTATTGGAAAAGATTAAATCAAATGAATTTAGAGAAGCACAAGCTTGTTTTATAAAAACCTTTAGATAGACTATTGAGATGGTCTGATGAAGTTATCGAATGCAGTTATGCGAATATGATGGAAAAACTGTATCAGATGCTTTCCTGTACTCCAGTCACCAACACACTGTCAAAAAAATATCCTTGCTTAAGCTTTAGCTTAAATCTATGGTAAAGTCATCCTTTTCTTGAATTTTCTAAAACTCAGCCAAAAATCTTTACGTTTTTCTAAAACTTGATGATTCCACTTGAATAAATATCAACAAATTTTACTCTCTAGATGAGTGGCCAGTTAAGGAAATACTTGGACTTAAACAATGTTCTATTTTATCATTAGTTTGGTTTTAGGAAATGGCACTGTGACTGCTTCCACCAATATTTTAAAAGCTATTTCTTGGAAATCTCAGATGTGGAAGACTACTGTTCTGCACTTGTATAGTCTTGTTAAAGGCATTTGCCACCTTTAGATTATTTATTCTTATGCCAGACGCTTTACAATATACACCTTTCAGACCAAATCACCAACATTACACTTGCTTTCTGATTAGTTGGCCTTCACTGTTGACACTTAGACTGATGCACTAGTATATGCTAGGTTACTACAAAACCAGTTTACTTTCCTATGTGTTTCTCCACTCACCGACATTTGTTACATTTAGTGGTTCCTTAGTATGGACAGAACCTGGGGAAAAATAAATTTTCCTACAAATGCCCCTTGTACACAATTTAAAACCACAACAAGACCTAAAGCTGTGCTGGCTACTCCAACAGATGAATTTAAAACACCTATTAATAGTAATGTAGAACGCATCACAAATTTAAATGTTTTATTCCTAGTGTCCCCTACTTTTATTTGGATTGGTTTTATTTTTTCAGCTTTTTCACTTTATTTTTTATTACTTAAAGTAAGTTAAAGTACCTTATAACATCAGTTTAAAAGATTAGCATATTTTAATGTGCTGCATTGTTCTCTTGTAATACCACAGGTGAGATTTTTCTAAACCTAACCACAGGGAGTGTTTGATTTGCCCTAAAGGGAAATAGACGTTACTGAGTCCATCAAGAACAATAAAATAAAGAGAGATGGGGCAATATAGGCCTGAACGACCCTGTGCTGATGAGACATAAAAGAGGCTATCAAAGAATGCAAAGCACAGATTCCTATTATGGAGTAACATTAACTCATAGCACACAGTAACCCTTAACGGTCCCAGGGGTGCCTACTGTACACTCTCCCTTTTATGACATAGTATTTGAAGGAGAACTGTTTCCAAGAAAACATCAGAAGTTCAGCTTCACATGAGCAAGTTTATGCTTGTCTAAATGCAGTTTTATTCATTTTGTGGTACTGCTTGAAATGACACATGACTAAATCACAGACTACCATCAAATAAGCAACAAATTAGTTCCTCTTTATGGAGGCATCAAACCATTCATGCTGATAGGGTGATCATGCAGTGCTGGATCAATTAAGAGATTTCGGCAGAAGGAACTCCATGCCACACTAATTAAGCAACCAACAGCTTTGCTCAGTAAATGGAAATGTATTCATTTCCATTCCCAGTTTTTGCTGTTTCTGTGCCTGATGTCAGAAGTTTTTGCAGAACAAATATTCTTGATCTAATTTTCCACAATGCCTCATTGCTTTCGCTCGTTGTATCTCCCTGTCGGCATGTCTCTCCATGTCTCAACTCACAGATAGCTTGTCACAAAGGATCCCATCAGTTGTCAGTAATAAAAGACATAACTCTGGAAGAACTACAAATAGGCCACTTATCTGATGTCTGTTATGAGCTGACCGAGTCAGACAGCCAGTAAAGTTCTTTGCATCTGCCTCTCTTTACTATTTTTAGTCTGATTAGTGGTTATTCTATCTGCATAGAGCTACTAAAAAGACAGAGAATTTAGTGTATAGACTGAGAGAAAGAGAAAGTTGGAGGAAGACAGAAATTTCAGCTTTCATCATTAGCATTCCATTCAAATGGCTAAATAGAGCAGTTGTCACTCATGGGATTCCTGGGCCTCCAGGAAGGAGTACTTGTATTGAATTTCTTCATATAAAGACTCTTCATTAAGAGATAGTAGTGAGTATGACATGTGGTCTCAGGAGGTCTTCTTCATATGGAATCTGAAGCAGAGGCCGATGTCTTCTCATGGGAGGGTTACACCAATGTACCAACTGTTCACAGTCAGCTTTGAAGGTTTGCTGAAGAGATGGAGGGAATGCCAGTTCTTTGGACTGCACACTATGGCTATAAATAATGAGGTTTTTGGTGGCTTACTAATTTCTCAATATTTGTCCAATTAGTCAGTTAGTTAACAATTATTTTAATTAATCTCTGCTTTCTCTAAGGACACACCTTCTGTTCTCAGTAATGCATGTTTTAGCATACTTCTTAATTTTGCACACCACCGATGCCTTGATAATATTGCATAAATTACCAAAGTATTAAAATAATGACACAAGAAATGTGAAAACACTTGTTCTCTTTTGAGCAGCTCTAATTAGAAATCTAAAACACTAAATATAAGTCAAACCTGAAATTGATTATTCTTCTTCTTCAGCTTCTTGTTCTTCTTCTTTATTACAGACACTTTGTTGTTTTGTGAAAAAACAAACAATGTGATATCAGTGTTTAATATGGCATTTAGACCACTTTTGATTGGATCAATCATGACTAGCTAAATTTGAAAATGGATGCGGTTGAACCTCATCCCAGGTTGCTTTTGGTATATTCCCCCCATCAACCTCTTCGTGCACTTACAGTATGTTCCCACTGATTGTGGTTCTGATACCCATTGTGCCAGCTGACTCTTATAAAATATGACAGACTACTATACCAAGCCCTAATAACTCTGCTGACATTGTGGTGGTAGAAATTACTGACTTGAGTCAAAGCTACATTTTCTTACAGTAGATTAGAATATACAGGGGTTGGACAATGAAACTGAAACACCTGGTTTTAGACCACAATAATTTATTAGTATGGTGTAGGGCCTCCTTTTGCGGCCAATACAGCGTCAATTCGTCTTGGAATGATATATACAAGTCCTGCACAGTGGTCAGAGGGATTTTAAGCTATTCTTCTTGCAGGATAGTGGCCAGGTCACTACGTGATACTGGTGGAGGAAAATGTTTCCTGACTCGCTCC